GCTCAAGCCCCAGAGTTCAAGCCCCACGACCAAAAAACAAAAACAAACACCTTAAAACAAGAAAGAACAGGTGAAGGCCTAAGAAAAGAGAACACAGGGGGAAAAAAATGAGAAAAGTCTGTGGTATTGACCAGAGGAATTAAGGGCACTCTGAATATGCTAAGAAGTATGAGATATGAATGAGCTCAACAAAAAGTTTGAGCATTGCTGCTTGCAACTGGAAAATCAATATAAATGAAGAAAATGAGCACTGAAAGTAGTAGAGTTCTATGTTGGAAGTAACCTAAGAGAGAAAATGTAATGTCAGATTACTACAAATGTTCTATAGACACACTGTGAAATAGCAAAGTAGTGATGGGCAAAGGGTTTGGAGAATAAATCCCCTAAGCAGCTGATAATTGCCAATCTCTGTATACCAAAAGGTTTTCAAGATTCAGCAATCTTCTTTAAGACTTCTAAATTCAACAGATAATACAAGTATTACAAGCAGCTTTCAATATTTTTTTAAAAAGTGTTTACACTATTGAGTTCTGACTTGAAATTTTACATCAAGAAAAATTTTGGATTTTACCTTTCAAAATATATTAGCTCTTTCACTTAACTCTGCCACTCATAAATTAAAAAGAACTTCATCCAACTTACTGACAAACAAGGACATATATTTTTAGCAGGGCCTTAAGGGCTCCCTTTAGAGTTGATGATGGATTATAATTCATCATTCTTCAGGTACAGTTGTTTAGACTGATAATCAAATTCTAACCACTCTCACCTAGCTCACATTTCTCCATTCTGACCACTGGACATAATTTTCTGAAATACACTCTAGTGAAATCTAATTGCATCAGATTTCAAATCAAACCCAAGGCATTTCTCTAATGAACCAATTAATCCTGTCAAAAAAAGGAAATGAGGTTAATTTGGCCACCCCCCAGTCAGTCGAGGTAACCACAGCCTTGAATTTAAATGACCATATAAGTTATGTTATAGATGCACCTGGGCAGGTTCTCACTACATTTCTTCCAGATCAAGTTCAGACCCACTTTGACTAGTACTTTTAAATATAGGAATATTAGACAATCCTCCCACCTCCCACGAGAGGAGGAAAAAAAGTTTATTTGGGTCAACTTGAATAAAAACCTTTTGAGGGGCTGGGAAGGTGGCTCAGTGGTAGAGCGTCTGCCTTGCATGCATGCGGCCCTGGGTTCGATTCCTCAGCACCCCATAAGCAAAAAGAAAAAAGCCGGGAGTGGCGCTGTGGCTCAAGTGGTAGAGCGCTGGCCTTGAGCTGAAGAGTCGAGGGACAACGCCCAGGCCCAGAGTTCAGGCCCCACGACCAGAGATAACAGAATCAATCTGATTCAGTCCACTATGTTACATTAATTGCATATATTTAAAAATCACGTGATGGGCTGGGAAGGTGGCTCAGTGGTAGAGCGCTTGCCTTGCATGCCTGAGGCCCTGGGTTCAATTCCCCAGCACCACATAAGCAAAAAGAAAAAAGCCGGAAGTGGTGCTGTGGCTCAAGTGGTAGAGCGCTAGCCTTGAGCTGAAGAGCTGAGGGACAGTGCCCAGGCCCAGAGTTCAGGCCCCATGACCGGACCCAAAAAAAAACAAACAAATAAAAATCACGTGATATAATATTGATTTGAAAATTCAGCTTTTTCCTCTGTCGTCAACATTCCATAAAATAATCTCATTGAATTTTCCCCAAAGTATATATATATATTTTTGGGGGGTCCGGTCCTGGGGCCTGAACTCTGGGCCTGGGTGCTGTCCTTCAGCTCTTCAGCTCAAGGCTAGAGCTCTACCACTTGAGCCACAGCGCCACTTCCGGCTTTTTTCTTTTTTTTTTTTGCTTATGTGGTGCTGAGGAATCGAACCCAGGGCCTCATGCATGCAAGGCAAGCACTCTACCACTGAGCCACCTTCCCAGCCCCCCCAAAGTATTTTTGACATGTCTTTAAATTTACTAGAATGACTAAGTCACTTAGTTTTTTAATTTTTCAAAGAATTACTGATTTTCTTTGATTTATAAATGTAGTTTAAGATACAGTGGCTCTTCTTAACCTAAACCCATTTTTACAGGTATATGCTATGGGTGTAGATAGCATAATTTCCCCCACTTCAAAGGAAAAGTACTCAACTAGCAGTGACTGAAGTAACTTTTAGGCTTATACCACCTCACAAAGTATCTTTTGTGGCTGAGAATGTGGCTTAGTGGTAGAGTATTTGCCTAGCATGCATGAAGCACTGAGTTCAATTCCTCAGTACCACATAAACAGAAAAAGCTGGAAGTGGCACTGTGCTCAAGTGGTAGAGTGCTAAGCTTGGGCCAAAGAAGCTCAGGGACAGTGTCCAAGCCCTGAATTCAAGTCCCAAGACTGGCAAAAAAAAAAAAAAAAAAAAAAATCATTTGTGAGGCTTTATATGAAAAATAGTGATATGCTCTTGTCTGAGGCATAATCTGTTGGGGGCGGGGATCATACTTTATATGAAAGTATTAACAAGTCAAAAATTCACAACGGATGGGAATCAATTATTTTGTAGATACATTTCAAATAGCAATATGATACTGCTTCCATAAACATAGGGATTAACAGGAATCTTCAGAATCTAAATTTTCTTTCTGAACTAATGAATTAGAACTTTGCTATACTATTATAAAGAAAAAAGTAAAGTAGTAAGAGTTATTCCATTCCTGTGAATCAATTAGTCTTTTTCTTTGAAACAGAGTCTCATTAGCATGGTGATATATGCCCTTAATCCCAGCACTTTTACTGAGTTCAAGGCCAGCCTGAGCCACCTCAAGACCCTGTTTCAAAACAGAACAACAAAAAAAGGTGAAGCTCAAGTGGTAGAGTGCTTGCATAGGGTGCTTTAGGTCCAGGGTTCCATTACTAGTACCACAAAACCAATGAAAAAGAAAACTGTCTTACTATGTTACTGTTATATATGCACCTGGCCTCCAACTCTAGCTCCTCCTGCGTCAGCCTCCTCATTGTTAGTATTACAGGGCGGCGGCATAAACCCCAACCTGAACTAATCTTCTCAAAGAAACATACAGTAATTCTACTCTTATGGTACTGAACTTGAAGAATCTTGTATAGTTTAAAGCATTTTTACATAAATCAATTTACTCAACACCATACTCCTACAAAACGTTATTTCATTTTACTGACAGGAGATTGGGCACAGAGAGCTTAGGAAACTTGCTCAAGCTCACAGAGCTCACTGAGTGGCCAAAGTTCAAGGGATCCACTCAGAGGCTGTTTTAAAAGATGGTATAATCGTCTAGATAAAATCTGGTTCCTTTTATGAGACACCTAATGTTAAGTGCTTTAAAGAAGACTCGAGAGGGAGTTCCAGGAGAGAGTAATGCTTTCTGGATATCCTATTATTTTCTAGCATCCCTGCCCACGGCCTCAGGAAAGCTGAGCCCTCACCCTCCAGTTGTAGGTCCCCTGGTGTCCCCCACCCCCACCCCGTTCCACGCCAATACCTCTGAGGCAAAAGATCCCGACCGAAATTCCCACCACCACTACCACCACCCCACGAACGGGGCGGCCCAGCTCCCCGACTTGCTGGGATTCTGCTCCAAACTTCTGAACGGATGCTGGACCGTCTGCCCCCTCTGGGGGAAAGGGCATCTTTCGAGCTTGTTTTCTGTCCTCAGGACCCCTGCGGCAGCCCCTCCTCGGCTGCCGCCCGGCGGGGTCCGAGGAAGGGGTACGGGCTGGGGAGGAGGGGCGGGGTCGCAGGGAGGGAACGCGGAGTCTGGGAGGCAGGCGGGGGAGGGGGCGCGGCGGGCCGGGGGAGGCAGGCGGGGGAGGGGGGCGCGGCGGGCCGGGGGAGGCAGGCGGGGGAGGGGGGCGCGGCGGGCCGGGGCTGGGCCCGGGGGGGAGGGGGCGCGGCGGGCCGGGGGAGGCAGGCGGGGGAGGGGGGCGCGGCGGGCCGGGGGAGGCGGGCGGGGGAGGGGGGCGCGGCGGGCCGGGGGAGGCAGGCGGGGGAGGGGGGCGCGGCGGGCCGGGGCTGGGCCCGGGGGGGAGGGGGCGCGGCGGGCCGGGGCCGGGCTCGGGGGGAGGGGGCGCGGCGGGCCGGGGCCGGGCTCGGGGGGAGGGGGCGCGGCGGGCCGGGGCCGGGCCCGGGGGGAGGGGACGCGGCGGGCCGGGGGTCGGGCTCGGGGGGAGGGGGCGCGGCGGGCCGGGGTCGGGCTCGGGGGGAGGGTGCGCGGCGGGCCAGGGTCGGGCTCGGGGGGAGGGGGCGCGGCGGGCCGGGGCCGGGGGGGAGGGGGCGCGGCGGGCCGGGCCCGGGGCGGGGGGAGGGGGCGCGGCGGGCCGGGGGGGGGAGGGGGCGCGGCGGGCCCGGGGGGGGAGGGGGCGCGGCGGGCCGGGGGGGAGGTGGCGCGGCGGGCCCGGGGGGAGGGGGCGCGGCGGGCCCGGGGGGAGCGGGCGCGGCGGGCCCGGGGGGGGGGAGGGGGCGCGGCGGGCCCGAGGGGAGCGGGCGCGGCGGGCCCGGGGGGGGGGGAGGGGGCGCGGCGGGCCGGGGGGGAGGGGGCGCGGCGGGCCCGGGGGGAGGGGGCGCGGCGGGCCCGGGGGGAGGGGGCGCGGCGGGCCGGGGGGGAGGGGGCGCGGCGGGCCCGGGGGGGGGGGGGAGGGGGCCCGAGGCTGTGGAACCTGTTAAGCCGCGTTTCCCTTTCCTGCCTTGCCGGGGGAGAGGGACGAAGGCCCCGCCGAGCCCCGGCGCGGCGACCTGCGGCCTCTGCCGCCCTCCCCACCTCCCCGCCGAGTCTCGGCACTCCGGTCCGGACCGTAAAGGCCGGGACCCCGCGTTCGAGGCCGGCCAACCCCACCGCACTCCCCGCCGCCGCCTCCATCTCTCCGCCCCTACCCTCACACGCACACCCTGAACTGAAGCCCGTCACCGCGTCCAGAAAAAACGCCGCAGTCACCGAGTGGAGGGGGGGAAAAAAACAAGAAGCCAAGCGAAGATGAGGGTCTTACCTTTAACAGATTAGACGTCGCCATGTTCCTTCAACTTGGACTCTCGCGAGACCCAGCGAGATGTCGCGGTGCTTTCCCCCGCCCCCCCTCCGGACTCGGCCGCGGCTGGAGGCCGGAATTCCCGGCAGGGCCTAGGGGCCGGGCGCGGCCCTCCCCTGCCCCGTCCCACGCCCTCCCCCGCGGCCCGCGCCGTGGGGGCCGCAGCGCCCGTCCCGGGGACCGCGGCTCGCTCGCTCGCCCGCCCCGCCCCCACTACATGGTCACCGCGGCTTCCCCGCTGCGCCGCACACGCTCCGGGAGTTGGCAGCGGCGGACGGCGGGGAGGTGACGGGAGCCGACCTGACCGGGAACGGGAAGCATGGGCTTCCCCGGTCCTCCCTCGCTCCTCCGGGCTCGCCTTTGTGGTTTGCCCCCGCCGCGGCCACCACAGAACGAATTTAGCTCGGTTTAGGCCCCGCTCGGGTTCCGCGGGCGCGTCACGTGACGCGGGGGGGGGCGGGGGCGCGCGGGCCGCGGGAGCGCGCCCCCTGCTGGCGGGACCCGGCTGCTCCCTCTGCGCTCCCGCCCCCCCCCTCCCCAGCTCCCTCCTGGACAGACTCCTGACAGCTGACACGCAGCCCGCTCCCTCTGTGGAATGCAGCGGGTGCACGCGTGTTAACTAATTAAACGTCTCTATTCCAGAAGGGCCCCGCACTTGCACCTATTAGAAGATTGCTCAGAAAATGACTATTCATCCCGATTTCCCCCCCAAGGCCTCATCTCCTAGAATATTCTAAACCCTTGCCCCACAAACCTCTGGATAAGGACACGATGTAATTTGTTACAGAGGGAATCGACAAGGATATGCGCTATGGCATCCTGCAAGCTCCTCATGGTATGTGCAGCCAAGTAAGAGATCTGAGCCGGCCAGTCACCAGTGGCATACTGTAATCCTAGCTATTCAGAAGGCTGAGGCCTGAAGGATCATGGTTGAATGCCAGCCTGGGAAAAAAATGTCTGGAAGACTCCATCTCCAATTAACTAGCGCTTACCCCATCCTGAACTGGAGGCATGGCTCAAGTGGTAGAGTGCCAGCTGTGAGTGAAAAATCTAGCAAGAGTCCAAGGCCCTGAGTCCAAGCCCTGTTACTCGAACTAAAATCAATTAAAAAAATAAACAAGAGCTCTGGAATGAAAGCTGGAAGAGAGATGATTTCTACTTAAGGAATTCTAGTAAGTAGTAGTTCTTTAAAGAATCTTATCCTCTTGCAGTTTTTGTTTTTGTGTCTGTACTGGGACTTGATCTAGAGCTTCGTGCTCTTGCTTGGCTTTTTCAACTCAAGACTGGCACTCTACCACTTGAACCACATCACCACTTCTGGATTTTTGCTGGTTAATTGGAGATAAGAGGCTCTTCAATTTATCTGGCTTTAAACCTTCATCATCAAGTCCTAAATAACTAGGATTATTGTTGGGAGCTACCAGCATCTGGTTCTTGGAGCTTTATGGAAGCCAAATATTAAACATGGCTGTATAATCAAGTAGAGTTATTTATCCATATCTGCCAGTCCTACATCTAGATTTAATCAACCTCAGATAGAAAATAATGGTTCACACCTGCAGTTCCACTTGGGAGACTGAGCAGGAGGATTGTGGAGTTTAGAATCAACCTGGACTACAGAATGAAACCCTGTTGTCCCCCACAACAATGAACATTGCTTTTGTTTTGGGGGGTGGGTGTTTTTTTTGTTTTGTTTTTTGTTTTGGTCAGTTGTAGGGTTTGAACTCAGGCCTGGGGCTGTCCCTGAGCTCTTCAGCTCATGGAGAGCACTCTACCATGTGAGCCACAGTGCCACTCCGTTTTTTTGGTGGTTTATTGGAGATAAGAGTCTCAAGGACTTTCCTTGCCTGGGCTGGCTTTGAACCTCGATCTTCAGATCTCAGCCTCCTGAGTAGCTAAGATTACAGGTGTGAGCCACTGGCGCCTGGCTAAAAAAATGAGCATTTTTAAGAGTGGAGGGAGGATGAACTGACCTGGAAGTGGCAGTGGAGAGGAACGAAGACCCACATAAGAACTGAAAGCCCAGTGCTCCATGGGCATCCTATAACAGAGATACAGACAGCAGAGAAAGACCAAGTTTCACTTAGAGCAAGAAAGGAGAGGGGAGTTTGCAGATGCAAGTGATGTTATGCAGCTTGTCCAGATGTTTAGAGGTTGGGAAGAACTGATATGGAATCCCCAGGGAAACGCTCCAAGGTGTCACTGATTGAAAGGTGTCCTAGGGATGGCCCAGTCTCCTTTGGAGAGTGCTATAAGAAGGCCGAAGACTTGAGTTTGTCTTCACTGATGAAAAGGCAGATAATGTCTGATGCAGAAATCACCAGAACACACAGAGCTCTAGGGTTCCCTCTTCTTAGATGCGGTCGAAACCATGATAGCTGTGGAAGGCACTCAATCCAAAACCCACAAGATTCTTAGGATTTCTCCTCGTGTGCAGAACAGAATGTGCTTCATGGACTACTGGGAATTCTAGGAAACACACGTGAATGACTACTTTCAGGCCAGTCTACTGCAAGCTAGGATTATTGGCATGAGCCGTTGGTGCCCAGTCTGTTTTGTTTTTTTCTTTCTTGAGGTGATGAAGATGTTCTCAAATGGGTTGTGGTAATGGTTGTACAACAGAATGCACCAAAAACCCTTGAATTGGATGTTTTCAATGACAAGATAACATTACAAGTAAACTATGTCAATAAAGAGATACCTTGCTGCCCCACATTTGTTTGTTTGTTTTTGGGTCTGGTCGTGGGACCTGAACTCTGGGCCTGGGCGCTGTCCCTCAGCTCTTCAGCTCAAGGCTAGCGCTCTATCACTTGAGCCATAGCGCCACTTCCGGCTTTTTTCCTTTTGCTTATGTGGTGCTGAGGAATGGAACCCAGGGCCTCAGGCATGCAAGGCAAGCGCTCTACCACTGAGCCACCTTCCCAGCCCCTGCCCCACCTGTTTTATTACCAGCAATGAACTGTAGGGTGAAGTTCTTCGAGACAGGTCTATATCTGTATAAAATATTTACCTTCATCAGACTCCTCCCCACTCTTCCTCATCCCCTCCCCCACTTTCCCTCAGCTCCTCCCCCTTCCCAAGCCAATTTCAGCAGACTTCATTGTTCCATTCTCATCCATGTCCATAGCATATTTGGGCTATATTCACTCTCCTAAATCCTCTCCATTTGCCCTCCCCATTGCTTTCTTAAGCAATGCTAGCAGTGCAATCATGTTAGGTAAAAATAAAAACCACCTCATCTGCCTACCGTCCTTACTACACTGGGCACCATGTACCATCTTTTGAGTGGGGACTATGTCCAGCACTGCTGCTGAGAAGGGTTGACCATTTACTAGAGCTCCTCTCCAGCTGGAAGATGTTGCTGCTGATGGCTGGCAATCCCCGAGGGCTGTTCATCTTCTCTAGGTCCTTCAGGGCAATACTAAGCATTTTTCTCTGATGGAGACTCTTTCTGAGTCATTTCCATTTGAAGTGAACTACCAAAATAGCCAATATCAACTATTTGTTTCTGGCCAAGTGTGGAGATTAACTTCTGGACAACTTGGTGGTAACCATACTAAAAATAAAACAAAATAAGAAGGGGCATTTAGCAACTGTGTGCTCTACACTGTATAAACATCTTACATGTACAACTCGTTGAATGTGCAGAGATATGAAAATTTTCTTGGGTGCTTTAACAAGCTCCGCTAGAAATTTCATTAGTCTCTGGTAGGTTCAAGGCCAAATCATGACAGATGAACCAAGTAAAGAAAATCAGAGATTTAAAATTATCTTTAAGGCAGAGTACATGGCAATGATCCCTTTCTGTACCTCAAAAACTCTTCACAAAAATCTAAGATATTCGTTATTATTCATTTGGCAGCAAAAATATGACCTAGAGCCGGGTGCTGATGGCTCACACCTGTAATCCTAACTACTCAGGAGGCTGAGATCTGGGGATCATGGTTCAAAGCCAGCCCTGGCAGGAAAGTCCAAGAGACTCTTATCTCCAATTAACCACTAGAAAACCAGAAGTGGTGCTGTGGCTCAAGTGGTACAGCGCTCGCCTTGAGCTGAAGAGTGAAGGATAGCGCCAAAGACCAGAGTTCAAACCCCACGACCGACAAAATAATAATAATAATCTTAATTATAGAGTTTTACCCTGAATTCCATTATGGCATTACATTTTTTTTTGGGGGGGGGGTCCGGTCATGGGGCCTGAACTCTGGGCCTGGGCGCTGTCCCTCAGCTCTTCAGCTCAAGGCTAGCGCTCTACCACTTGAGCCACAGCGCCACTTCCAGCTTTTTTCTTTTTGCTTATGTGGTGCTGAGGAATCGAACCCAGGACTTCATGCATGCAAGGCAAGCGCTCTACCACTGAGCCACCTTCCAGCCCGGCATTACATTTTATTTGTAATTTTTGTAAAGTATTTGTTACATTTGTAAAATGCAAATCTTGAATTCGTAATTATACTTCATTTGTGAACATATACAAGTTTCAGTTAAATAATTGCTTCTGTTTTAAAAGTGCCACTCAGGATGGACTGACAAAGATGGGTAATGGGGGGACTGGGAAGGTGGCTCAGTGGTAGAGCGCCTGCCTAGCATGCATTAGGCCCTGGGTTTGATTCTTTACCACCACATAAACAGAAAAAGCTGGAAGTGGTGCTATGGCTCAAGTGGTAGAGCACTAGCCTTGAGTTAAAGAGACAGCACCCCAGGCTGAGAGTTCAGGCCCCACAACTGACAAAAGAAAAAAAAAAAAAAAAAGATGGATAATGGTTAACAATACCATGGCCATTTATTTTTATTTTTATTTTTGTGACAAGGCCTGAACTGGGAGCTTGGGTGCTATCCCTGGTGTCTTTTCCTCAAGGCTAGTGCTCTACATCTTTATAACACACTTCCACTTCCAGTTGTTTTCTTTTTTTGTTTGTTTTTGGTTGGTCATGGGGCTTGAACTCTGAGCTTGGGCACTGTCCCTCAGCTCTTAAGCTCAAGGCGAGTGCTCTACCGCTTGAGCCACAGAGCCACTTCTGGTTTTCTAGTGATTTATTGGAGATAAGAGTCTCATGGACT